TTGAGCTCAACTCTGTCATGGAATTTGGACAGATAAATGATTGGCCAAATGAAAAATATGCAATGAAAATTGACTTCATCTGAAAAATATGAAGTTTGGACGAATAGTCCCAACAGCTGAGAGTATAAAGGCTATATGGAGATATTGAAATATGATTAGTATTATATTGCAAAAAAAATCCTTGATATAGATTTGTTTATTCTAACAAATATTGTCAAGGTTTTGTTGTTTATGCAAATGCAGACATTTATTGAAGTCTGTTCTTCAAACAATCTATTTGTATGTGAGGAATTGTCATATTATCATTTCACAAGATGTGTGACTTTTCTTTGAAGAGAAGATTCCAATAATAATGAAGAAGCTGATGTTTTCTTATCTCAATTGAAAGAAGAATATTGAAGGAGACTGAATAAATCATATATTTCATCAAAGTTCTTTGTCAGACACGATCTTCAACAGAATGATGAAATAGATGTTCAAGAAATTCCTTCAAGTGATAATTTGGCGGAATAATTCACGAAGGCATTGCCGATCTCAATATTAGAGAAGTTGTTATACAAGCTTGGAATTCGGCGTCTCCGAGAAATAAAGTGATATTTTCATCAGGGGGAGGCAAATACGCGCTGTACTCTTTTTTCCTTAGCTAAGGTTTTATCCCACTGGGTTTTCCTGGCAAGGTTTTTACTGAGGCAGCAAGAAATGTGTATTACAAGATATGTGTACTCTTTTTCCTTCACTAAAATTTTTTCCTCCATGGTTTTTTCTTAGTAAGGTTTTAACGAGGCACATTATCTATGGACATCCCAGGGGGAGTGTTATGAAATACATATTTATATGGATGTCCACTAATCAAATATAACTCCCACTACTCTTCTCCATTATGTAGATAACCCCCACTACTTCTTACCATTATGGATGTAACTCCCACACCTCCATGATCTTCCCCCATGTTCTCAATAGTTAATACCATGTTTATGGAGTCCCTTTGTATTACCTATATCATCCTATAAATAGAGGGTTTGGGCATCACATTGTACACACTTGAATACATGAAGAAATAAGATTCTCCCCTCTCTTTCTCTCTACATTGTTGTATATCTTCTTGTTTTATGTTATTACTTTGAGCTAAGTTTCGTAACAGTTTCTTCTTTTTTATCGATCACCTTTATTTTTCTTCTTTTCTTTGCTCTTTGGATATCGGCCACTAATTTTCGTTCACTCTATTTTGTAAAACTAAAGTTAGATTTTTTGAAATCGTTTTAATTATCTCGGTTTTTTTTCGATATCAGTACGATTCGATTAATATTCTTTTTAAATATCACGTAGGGGTCGCTAGTAGAACGCGATAATATGCAGGCTTGCATAGAACTTAAGCAAAACTCGCTACACATTTTACTTTTTAAAAAGTAATGAATCGAGGGAATATGAAAGATGACCAGAATAAAGATCCATCCTACTATTTTACAATAACGTAAATAAATTCAGGAAAGACAAGCAAATATAAACCACACGAGTTGAAAGATATTAGTTAAGTTGGGACTCAAGAATAGAATCAATCAGAAAATTAAATAGAAAAATCTAAAAAAGATATCCAATACCTTCTGGCTTGCCACTCAAGATTGCCAAAGAAAAAGAATTTAATGAGTTGTTACTTTAAACTTAAATTATATGCTTCATATATAAATTACCGTTCAATTTTTCATATACAAATTACGTCTTTATATTAATTATGATTCCATTTCGGTTTTATTTATAAAAAAATCTACCCTATTATTCTGTTATATTATAAAATTATACAACAACCTATAATTTTATTTTATTTTTTAAAAACTTATAATGCTGACATTCAAAGTTGAAAATGGAGTAGCAAACTAGATTCTTTTCCTTTTTGAGCAAGTCAGAGCTGATTAACTAACAAAATGGTGAAGAAAAATATTACGTACATTTTTTTCTTTAACTAGGGCCAAAAGAATATATTTGGCATAATAGCCTAATAGGCACTTGTATTTCTTCTCATTTGACATCCCGGCCCCGTTACTCTATAAAGTTTCAAGTGGATACCTGAACTTGTTCAAATATGATATTCTAAACACCTCCACAGCTGTGTGTTGCTCACTTGCTTGACGTGGATGACATATCAGTGTCCCCGTCAGATTTTTCATGATAAAATAATAATTTACTTTTTTCACATTATTTAAAAACTATATAATTTCTTTTCATATTTTACTCCTTCATCTACTTTATTTTTCCTTCATGAAAAGCACATTTCTTCGGTCACATCATTGATGGAGAGTTCCATTACATATTTACTTCAAAATTACAGATAAATAATTAAGACCCATCAAATATCTTTACTCAATTTGAAGAAAACTTGATAATTTATTCAATGATTAATAATCACTATCCTTTTTCAGTCACTATCCCATAGAGAGTTCCAGTGCAAACTTGAAGATTACAACAAATTTAAATGAGACTCATCAAGAATCTATACCCAATCGAAGAAAGTTGAAATCCTTATTTACAAAGCCCACTGGAACCAACTGAAGTCAAATCCCACACTTATAATTAGCTAAAACAGAAAATCAATTGAATCTTCATAGGTTTCATTTGAACTCTACTGGAAGAATGGAGGGAGAAAGAAGAAGAGGAAGAGAAGAATGGAGGGGAAGAAGAAGAGAAATGGGGGATGGGGAACGGATGGTACTAACGAGGGAGGAGGAAGGACTCTTCAGCCTTTTTTTATTTTTCTTTCTCTCTTTTAACTTTAATTTCTGCCTCTTTTTTTTTTATTTTTTCTTCTTATTTTAATCTTTTAAATCAAAATTACGGTGCTCACTCTCTTCATTCGCGTGCATTACACGCATATTGTCCAGCTCAATTTAGTCAATGCCACGTAAGTTGGGTCAACGGTCGGAGGGGCTTAAAATAATATAGAGTAAGGAGACCGGGATGTCAAATAGAAACAAATACGGTCATCTATTAGGATATTCTGCCAATATATTTCGCTTGAACTTTTTTTCTTCTCCATGAAATAGTAAAAAGTTTACTTTTAATTAGTTAGAATGCCTTTGCTTTTAATTATTTAGAGTCTTTGAAGAAACTGATGGCAGAGGATGTTCCTCTTGCCATTGAACGGAAGAGAATACAAACTATTATGGTGTTAATTATTGCGCAAATTTGATCGCTTAAAAGCTACTCCCTCCGTTCCAGTTTATGTAAACCTATTTCCTTTTTGGTCGGTTCAAAAAAGAATAACCCCTTTCTAAATTTGAAAACAATTTAGCTAAACTTCCAATTCTACCCTTAATGAGATGCTTCTATAACCACACAAATACTCTGGATTCCTCTTTAACTTGTTTAGGACCACAAATTCAAAATTTTTTTATTTTTTCATAAACTCTGTGCCCAGGTTCACATAAATTGAAACGAAGGGAGTAATTAATGATGACTTCCATAAAAATTTTACACCCCCTACAAAAAGCTAGAGCTAGCTACTCAGCATTTGGTAAGAAGGGCTAAGACTTGGTATTATTTCTTTATCAAGTTAGGTTTATAGGACTATTGAGTTTACTTTATTCCAAAGTAATTAGCACCAAAGAGCTATCTACTTAACATGCAATTGAGTATATGCTGCAACGACTATACTATTGTTACAAAATGCGGTATGATATGACATTTTCCTAGAGTTTCTAATTGAAGATTCCACCAGAAAGAAAAGGATTTAGATATGTTGGATGTTGCCTTAAATTTGATCAACCGGCCGAGTTGTTCTCTTCACCATGGTTCTGCTTAATCCCACTGCAACAAAAGAAATGTGGCAATTTGACTCGATCACAAGCCCTGCAAGTTGTTTGCATCAACATGTTGTCAACAGTGTTATTATGCATAACTGTGGTACTTGAAACAAGGAAAAGGAAACTGGAGGACATAAAAGCAGAGAGAATTGGGAGCACATGCTGATATTCTACATTTTTCTGTCAAAAATATTTTAAATAAAATTGATAGATAATAGTAGAAGGAAACATCACATTTTATGCCATTGCCTTCCTAATTGTAAACGTAGATAAGCATCACGGTTGCCTATAAACTACTACTGACTAAGATAAGCATCATAATCGCTATAAACTCAAAGGCAAAGATCACACAGTCCCTTTGAAATACCAGCTCCAGTGGAATTTGCACAATTGCAAAACAAGGACACAATGATAGAAAATTAGAAAATTATCAAAATACATTAAGAGATCATACTAATAATATCTTGTATGTTAAATCCAGCAAGATATCACCTCAGACCACATAAAATATTTAGAAAAGCAACCAAGCAACTTTACGAAGGAAAGACCTACTCATGACTTTTGAGTTAGGATTAATGCATGACTAATAGTTTGCTTTCTGTTCATAGTTATCTATGAATTCTGTACAGTATGATTTTAAAACTTTTTAACCTTCATCTGCTTCAAAACACAGTTAAACCAATGCACTCAACACATGGCACTTTGACCCTCTTTAATTTGAAGCGAAATTTTAAACCTGAAGTGCTTCAACTAAAATCAAATCAATTTTGGCAATCATAAGGAACAATAGGACCTAATCAGAGATGTTTCTGACCTGCAATTGACAACTGGGACTGAAAATGTGTTTAGTTTAAACTGAAGGAGCAAATAGGAGACAACTGAACGTCTCCAAACAGTTAATTTTTCAACGAGACAGTACTGCCTTGGTTTAAGTTCTCACATTGAATGCTTCCATTCATTTATCAGTATGAAATTTCAAGAACTACAGGAGTATAAAAAGAAAAAACAAAAAGTTAATTAAACATCCAAAAGAAAGTTAACAAAACGTCAACGAAACAAAGGCAAAAATAGCTAAGCAATCCAATGTGTAAACTCAATACACAAAGTTGTGATCTAAATACTCTATTCCTTCTTAATTTTCTTGGATTCATTGGTTGCGCAACCTCCTCTATTGCTCTATTTTGTACTGGCTAAGGTTTTTTCATATTGAAATTATAAAAACTTGCCCTTGAAAGCTAGGTTAATTTCATTTTACAGAGATCATAAAAGCATATATATTTTGTCAAGAAATTCAAATCAGCTCTTCTAAATTCAAGAGTGTACAGGTTAAATGACACTCTGCGGATTTTGCTTCAAGTTTAAACATTTCAAATACAACTTGTTTACTTTTGCTGGAAAAGCTCTTACTTGCATCGAATAATCACTGGAATGGGTTTTAGAGCCTTTGGTCCATTCCTTATGCCTCTCTTGTGAGGGGAAACCTGCATCATCAACCACAACCCATAAAAGAAATGCAGTCAGATGTAAATTCTTCAACTCATTCCTTCCCAGAGAGCACCATCCCACATCCAAACAATCCCCCCCACACAACTTCAGAGCATGTATTCATGTTATGCACACATGTAACAGACTAGGGAAATCTAAACAAGTCTGCCTAGTTAATATGCGCAACCAAAGAAAAGAGTATCACAAATGGTTAGTCAGTTAGTGTAGTAAAGAACAATGGCATTTAATGGAACAAGGATCAGATCCCGGTCTATCATTGATCCTCAAGGGAAAAAATGATAGAACAGAAAAAAATATGGAACAGAGACTGCAGCAGCAAGAAGAGAGAGGAGTTTCCGTCGATATAAATATCCATTAATGTGTGAAAGCGTATCAGCCTTGCTACTACTCAGCACGTAAAGTCAGCCGAATGTGTTAACAGCAGTCCTAAGTGGCAGCTAACTTCAGAATATTTGTTGAGACATTTAGCTTATATTGCCTCTAATTGCAATGAACAGGCAAAGACTCAATAATTCCTATGATTTCAGTACTATAAATCTATCCTATTAGCAGAAATCTTAAGGGATTCAATGGATTAAACTTCAAGTGTAACTAGAGACTACATGTACTTAACTGATCCACACAGCCAAATCAAGTTTAAGTATTAAAGAGTACCTTTAGTTCCTAGATGCCATATGGCAAACCAAAGGGATATCTCCTAGTATGTGCCAGGTAAAATGTTTTTGAGAGAACACAAAACTAAAAGAACCGAAATAAGGGAAGCAGCACGCAGACAAATATTTTAAAGAGTTGCTTATATCAACTCAGCAGTGATTGATGTTATATGCAAAATGCCAAATAGCTTTAAAAGTAGTTGAGATTCCTCTAGAGAAATCTTGTAGTTAGACAATAGCCCAGTGCCAACCATACAATATTATATAAAATGCAGAAAAGCAGTAATACAAAAAAAAAAAAAAAAAAAAAAAAAAAAAAAAAAAAAAAAAAAAAAAAAAAAAAAACGAATGTACTAACCTCCCCAACTATGATCGTCTACAGAACCAAAATGACCGGTCAATGACAAATACAAGTGAAACAATGGATAAATGAGTACATAGCGAACCTAATCTGCCAAATGAGCATGATATGCAAGAATTTAAGAGCCACAAAGCAAAATCCCACAATATCTTTTAGGGAAACACTTCATGATACTCACATTGGCCGAGTTAAATTTAGACTTTTAACTATTATAAGAAATTCATCTTGGTGCCAATGTAAAAGGAAAAAAAATCGAACCTTCTTTTTAGGAACAGCCATAAGCTCCATGGACCCACCAATGACAGGTGAATTTGGAAACATATATCCTATGTTACTGTTACTGTTGTTGTTATTATCATTTTCAGGCAAAACCAACGACGGTGATGTAGCCGTCGGCTGATTAACCACGCTATCTAGAGGCGAAGGTCGGGCCGTGATGTGAAGAACTCGTCGGAGACCGGATTTAACGCCGGCGATGGTCCCGCCGGCCCGTAGCATCGCTGCACTTAACGCCATTTTTGCTGAAAGTGAGCAGTAGAAAGCTTAGAAGGTGAAAGACTGAGGGCTCGGTGGTCACATGGGCCGAATATTATGGGCTGTCTCCCTTTTGCTATTTGGGTTCAAATGTAAATGGGCTCAAAACGGGCTTTTGCATCTATACCCAGTTTTGGGGTCACAATTTAATCTATACCCATTTTGCAAAACTTTTTGCAAGCCTACACACTTTACGATCAACTTAAGGCCAAAAGATCAGAATCGCAACCAACGTTTTCGTGCACTTAAGGCCAAATAGATATAAAGTGCAAATTGCCCAGAAATAGAAATTTGTTTTCGAATTTTAACAATCAAATATACGATTTAATACCTAAATCTACTCTAAATGAGCTCAAATTTGAAACATAACCTCCAAATATCATCAAGAACAAACTCCAATCATCAATTTGACAAAACAACAATAAATCTAACGAACACATTTTGCAATTAAGAAAAAGAAGAAGAAGAAGAAACCATAAGCAATAGTAAAAAATAAAGCGCCACAATATCTCACCACAGTAAAATATTATAAAATACCTTAAAATATATTCATAAATACCATATAAAATCACCGTCACACGAAGAAGAAGAAGAAGAAGAAGAAGAAGAAGAAGAAGAAGAAGAAGAAGAAGAAGAAGAAGAAGAAGAAGAAGAAGAAGAAGAAGATGTCACGACCCAAAATCCCCCCGAAGGAGTCGTGATGGCACATAGTCTCTAAAACTAGGTACGTCTAACATTAATAGAAATAACGACAATATTTGCTAACATCGAACAATTTCGAAATAGAAATCTTTGTACAATTTACAATCCCAAAACCGGTAGTACAAGTCATAAGCCTTTCTAGGAGTAGTTATACATAATGAATACATCACTGCTCCGGAACAAAAGAAAACAATGGAAATAAATACAATAGAAGATGATTTCGGTGCTTGCGAACGCCCAGCAGGTGTACCTTGAAGTCTCCAGCCACACCAAGCATAAGTCTCAAAACCAACCCGATCTGAAGTACCTGATTCTGCACAAAAAGATGTGCAGAAGTGTAGTATGAGTACACCATGGTGGTTCCCAGTAAGTATCAAGCCTAACCTCGGTAGAGTAGTGACGAGGCCAGGTCAAGAAACTACCGAATATATAACCCGCAGGATATGACTTAAATCTAACAAGAGAGGACTATCAAAGTAATACCAATAGCAGAAGGATATCAAATTGCAAACAGTAGTAACGATAAGAGGAAAACACGAATGACAACGAGAATTAACCAAGTAACTAAACAACAACATAGTTGGGGTCGGATGAAGCATAAATAAGTCAAAGTAGGGAAAACGATGTTAACTCAACCAATTGAATCGTTTCTAATACACAATTTCAACAATCCCAATCCTCGTAATTTCATATCATAATCACAACTTCCAAACCTTTAACACACATGGCACCTTGTGCCCACATATTTCCATCTCACTTTGCACGGCAAAATCCACGTGCTACTCAGTACATAATATTCGTGTCACATGCTAATTAAGGTGTCCAAGAGATTTTTACTTATATATCATAAAATAATAGTACATTTTGTAGACCAAGTAGGAAATCAGTGAGAAAGATGGGTTTATTTTAGAAATCATTTGAGTGAAGAAGAATAACATTTTCAAATAAAATACAACATCGAATACGCTATTGAATTTAACATATTAAATTAAGACATAATAGAGATTCCTTTTTAAGTGAAATAAAAACCTCAAACGGGTTAAGGATATTAAGTTGGGGAATTAATTGAAGTAAAATGTAACAACTATTAGAAATAATAAATACCAAAATATACGACGAGACTTAACCTAGAAGTCACACAAGGTAGCATGATATTAATTTTTTTATTTTAAACCACTATATTACTAAGAGCTAAGCAGGGCAGGAGGTAATGACTCAACGTAGTAAATTCACTCTGAAAATCAATTCACCAGAATAATAGTATTAGGAAAAGAGCTCAAGGAATTACGGCAAGACAATAAGTCAATGACAATAACTCGATCCTCAGAACACAATGAAAACCAGTAATACAGATTATCAGAGTTTCGTACGAAGGAACTGAAGCCAATACAATAAAACAGGGGATACCAAAATACAAGATATGTTGCGAAGGCAACCCGATCCACCATATAATATTAATATCATAAGTCACCCTTATTCCACCATATCAATTCACCCTTATTTCACCTGTTGCTGCGTGCAACTCGATCCCACCGTACAATATTAATATCACATTAATATAATATGTTGCGGCACACAACCCAATCCCACCATATAATATTAATATCACAATTCACCCTTATTTCACCATAACAATCCACCCTTATTTCACCTGTTGCGGCGTGCAACCCGATCCCACCGTACAATAACAATATTACAATATGAATTTCCTCCCTTATTCCACTACCTCCCTTATTTCACATGTTGCGGCGTGCAACCCGATCCCCTGTACAATAACTTAAATCAACAACAACAATTCAATAACTAAATTTACTAGAACTTCTACAATCGAGGGTATGAGTACCCGACAACAAGGGAACCACGTGAAATCAAAGGAATATAACAACTTTTACAAAATGACAAGACATGTAATGCACGTGATAACTAAGCAAACAATCACAACAATTTGGACATGTAGCAGATATGCACAAAGTCATAGAAGAACTCAACAATTAAGAGGTAACAAGACAATAAGGAAGGCAGTGACTTCAACCAAGGCATACAAGGGCCAAATAACGAGTAAGAGGTAAATATATGCTAACAACATCATATAGAGCATGTAAAAGTAGTCTAAGAACGAGATACCACATGTTATGACAATGTAATCAAAAGCATAAAAAGAGACTAGACAATATAAACCGGTCAATACCACATATAGGCTGTGTACCCACTCGTCACCTTGCGTACATGGCTTTCACATAACAAGATAACACAATTCCTAAGGGGTGGTTTCCCTCACACATAGTTAGACAAGACACTTACCTCAATTCGGCCAACTCAATACTCAATTTGGCTTTTCCTTTACCAATTCACCATCGCTCGGTCCAATCTAGCAGAAGAAGACTTAGATACATCAAACAATGCAAGAGAAAATAATTTCAATTAACAAAGCTATGATCCTTATACAATTTGCAAAAAGTCAACAAAAGTCAACTCCCCGGGCCCGCACCTCGGAACCTGACAAAATTAACAAAACCCGAACACCCATTCAATTACTAGTCCAACGATAATAGTTTCACTCAAATCCGACTCCGAATCGATATTCAAAACTCAAAAATTCTTTATAAAATATTAGACACAACCCCCAAATTTCACTTTGAAATCATCAATCAAATGCCTAAAACGAAGATGGATATATGAAATATAACTATAATCGAGTATAGAGCACTTACCCCAATCCATATAGTGAAAATCACCTCCAAATATTGTCCAAATCCGAGCTCCACAACTCAAAATATGACCAAATGAACAAACTTTCGATAGTAAGTATTTTTTGCCCAGCTGTTCATCCTCGTTTTGCATGCCAAATAATCCCGAAACTCGCTTTTGATGCCTCCAATGGATTCCTTGTGAAATTTCAGTCAAGTTAGGCTTTTGAATCACTCTATTTGACCTTATAATGAAGGAAATATGTTGGTTTCAATATTTAAAAATAGTGCAGATTTTTAAATACGAAGTCAGTGACAATTTCGTAATTAATCTAAAATCTAGCAGCCCAATTCTTAGTAAAATGACCATAAAGTCCTCATACGATGTCCAAATTTGGCGATTCTTTTTGCTATGGCTCCTTAATTACGATACAGATCTAATGCTTCAATTAAAAAAAAATTGGATTTCATTTGTCTGATGTGGTACCATTTATGCTTGAAGAAACTACGTCGAAACATAAGAAAAATGAGCGCAACACAGCCCAAACCTATCCGAAATCACCCGAGCCCCTCGCGACCCCGTATGAACATACCAACAAGTCCCATAACAAAATACGGACCTACTCGAGGCCTTAAATCACGCATAACAACATCGAAACAATGAAACACACCTCAAATCAAACTTAATGAACTTTTGAACTTTCGATTTCCAAAAACTAGCGCCGAAACATATCAAGTCAACTCGGATTGAACTCAAATTTTGCACACAAGTCCTAATACATCATACGGAGCTACTTGTGCCCCCAAACTATCGAGCGAAGTGCAAATTCTCAAAACGACCGATCGGATCGTTACAAAAGAGGAGAAAAAGACCTAGAATTGTTTAAAAAGCGGGTAGAAATTAAAAAATAAAATAAAAAAGTAGGCAAATATTAAATGTGAGCGATCAAATAAGGCGTTAGTGTAATTTTTGGTTCTATTAGTTAGCACAAAATTGCATCGGTCACCATAAGGACTGGTCTTTATGTTTTGTCCTCATTTTTTATTTTATTGTGAAAATAGGCTTTTTAGTTTATTTATGTTGCATTGTTCTTCTTTACCAAGAACACCATAGTTGTTTAATTTTAGAAGTTTGAAATTCTAGTTTGGGGGGAAGGGGGAGGGGTGAAATTCTTGTTGGTGTCGTGGAGCGGATCGTAAAAATAATTTTGATGGATACTTTTAATTGTTTAAATAGTTGGGTTGAAAAGAAAAATATCATAAAGTAAAAATAACTGAAAATATTCCTTGAAAGTATAGAGTGACATTTCAGTTACAATGAGCAAAATAAAATTACCTTTTAGTTACAAAACAAAGTAAAAATAACTTGCTTAAACAATTTCCGCTAGTTCAGTGACTTCCTAAGAAATCAACTCCTAAAAAAAAATTAAAAGTCTAAAAATTACTCTAATTAATTCATCCTCATTTTCTAAATATCACAATCAAAAGGGATTAGGATAATATTAGTTACCAACTTTAACTACAAAAATGTGGTTAATTATTTTGATTTTCTTCCGGTGTTCACTGATGCTCTTTCTTCAACCCCACTTTCTCACAACAAATAAACTTCCCATAAGGCTTCTACAAAAATGTGACTGAAAACCATAGAATAATTTTCAATATGTTAGTATTACTTATTA